CAATTCATTTAGTAGATACAAATTGTCACCAATTAAGAAATCATCTTATGAAGCTACACGCTTCTCACTAGCTTTACCTAAAGTTTTATTATTTTCCAAACATGATTGGAGGATTTCTATCAAATCATTACACTAGTCAATCACTTTTATTAGTGAATCTCATGCATGGGTATTCAATTTTCAACATTGAACTATTGCAACGCATTTCAATTTTATGAATATTCTTCAAATATTCCAATTGTTCTCGCATATCCAAACAAACGCCACAATCGGCTTTCATCCTATTTTATCCACTTTAGATTTAGTGTACATCACATTATGAACCATCCTTAAACTTTTAAAATAGTATAAGGGCTTTCTACTTTTTTACTTCATAGACATTCTTCTATGATTTATAAGGTATGGAGAATTTAACTTGTGGAATAAGCTACTCCCACAATTCCTTAATTAGGAATACACATGCAATCTAGTAATGTTGGATCCACAAGTTTTGAACTTTTCATACAAGTTCGCAAGTATTAATGATTAACCCCACACATTCTTGGGTTATACTTGAATTTAGAGTTCATCAACTCTTTCAAAATTCAATTCACCATCAAATAGATAATGCTAGTTGAAAATCAAAGCACTTTCAATTTAGTGGTCGTCAATTCATACTTTTGTACTTCAATCAAACTCTCTTTAATTTTGATTACACAATTTAGATCAAGGTCATCACATGGACCAACAATGCTTTCAAAGCATATACCAACGTAATTGGTTCAATTGAAGTCAATAAATTACGTTAATTGCACATAACTATACACATTTTAGTGTGGTATAGTACAACAATGAAGAGGGCAAAACATCTTGATTAACAAGAATTGCAACTTCTCCAAACGTATGCAACTTATCAAATTTGTATCATTTCACAAGATAATATTATTTCATGTCAAATAATAAGGTACATATTCACCTTATTCACCATATACCAACTTGAATGAATGTATGGATGTCAATATGGCTCGTCGACTCGGGCGACCCGTGGCTAGGCCCTGAAAAGCTCAAGTCGGGCTGACTCGTGACTTGATGGGACCGATCCGAGGCTCGAGCTGGTCTGTGTCACAGACCATTTATGGCCCGTGAGCCTAAAAAGTTAAAAAACTTAAAAATATATTTAAAAAAAGGTTACAGCTAACTACGTTGCAGGCAGCCACTTTTTTTTTTCTTTTAATTTTAGCTGTAATTGTTTTTTATATGTTAATGTTTAGTTATTATTTATAATACGTATAAATTACACACATTTTAAATTATTAAAAAAAAATTTAATTTGTTACGAATTAAAAAAAAAAAAAATCGAGCCGGCTCGCTAAGGTAAGAGCCGAAAGCTCGGGTTGAGCCTAAATTTTTTTGGTCGAGCAGATCGAGCCAAAAAAAGTTCGAACAATTTTTACTCAAGCCAAGCCCGAGCAAAAAGTTTCAGCTCGCTACTCGACTAGACTCGGCTCGTTGACACCCCTAAATGAATGAATCAAACGTAGGTTGAAAAGTTGTGTCTCAAAAGATACAATCTTACAAAACGACACACTTCTTGAAATTAATCTATATGAAGAGACACACCCATTGAAAAATAATCATACCAAAAGTCATAATATTTCATATGAAAAGACACACCTTTTCATCTAAAGTGATCCTAGAATATTTCATTCTACATAATTTTCCAACATTTCCAAGTAATTAAGCAGCTTAATGCTTATTACCAAATAATGATTTCGACAATTTTTGATACAAAATTTCGACAAAATGGAATAATGAAAGTTCATATAATTTCAATAAAAAGTTGGCATCTCAACCGTATTTATTTTTGTTATGAAACCAGAAATCCAAAGCAATGTATTTGCTTATTCCAAACCTTTATACATATATTGTACTCCCTCCCTCCCAATTATATAGGATTGTTTCGTTTTTTACACGAATTAAGAAATTTCTTTAATGTCATTGAAAAATTAATTTTGCCAAGAACTTTCATAATGTACCCCTATTTAATTATCATTGTGTGTAAAACTAAATTATTATTGGAACTAGTAAAGAATTTGAAGAAGAAGAAGAAGAAGAAATGAGAGTTGTTCCATGTTTTCAAGAAGTGGGAAATGTGTGTATTGGCCATTGGGATGATTTTAAGAAGTTGACATATTAAGTGGAGAAAATTTAATAAAGGTATATTGGTAAAAGAACACTACAAAATATTCTACATTAGAAAATGTGCCTATATATTTGGGACAAGAGAAAAATAAAACTCAACCTATATAATTGAGACGGAGGTAGTATAAGTTTATTCCATTTATAGTCAACATATAATATGACTAGGAATGTCAATGTCTCGTGGAAGTCAATGTACTTCTACATTTACTTCAAAATCCAATTTGTGTAACTCCCTATTGACAAGTTACCAATTTCAGAAACTGATTTACGACACTTCAAAATTTAAATACATAAACTTTTAATGCATTAAAGTATTAAGAACACAATATTAAATTAGAACCTTTGAATTTGATAACATGCTTCATCAACTCCAAAAAAATGGCATATCAATGATGCAATTACCAATGTCATTGGAATGCAGAATTTTAGATTGACACAAATGGCAAACTGAATATAAAAGCCGCAATAACAGCATCCAATGAAAAGTAATGTACTTTCATAGTTGCAAGATGTAATAGAGAAAACAAAGAAGACAATGGTTCGCATGAATATGAGAAGGAACCATTATCAAATAATTTTATATGGAATTCATGATATAGGCAACGAATAAATGGAGAATCCCTTCTTGCATATAGACTGATGGCCGTTATGAATTGAATCCACGTTAAATAAACACATCCAATTCAAAAAGATCAAACCTTTTCATATTTGAAACTTCTACCTAAGAGTTATATTCAATTACATAGAATATCATACTTAAATTCTAAGCCATATGAGCATATAACTTACTGTATATAATATGGAAATTCAGATTAGAATATAAAATGAACAAAAAAAAAAAAAATTCATTTCAAAACTGTTGGGTATCCTTAAACATATTAACGATAATATGTGCATACATATTATTCAACATATCTTCTACACAAGCATAAAATTCAATATAGAATTGACTTACGAAACCGAGTATGTATATGTAGACGACTTCGTGACTTTCCATACTTCGATGAAAGCCATTTCATTCTTCAATTAAAACCTTTCATATAAAAATAAGAAAATTAGTATTTTTGAAATCAAATACAATGTAAAGAAATCAGAAAGAAGAAAGAGGAGATGTAAAAGCAAGTGAAACACTATTTCTTTAAGATGAATTTGCCCCGCATCGATGCTAACGATTTTTTGACAATCATCTTCCAAGATATAATGACCACGTCTAGCCATAGGAGCACTCCAAATGTCTTAGATGAATGAACTCGAACGAAGTTTCCTCCCCTGCCATAACCATGACTTTGATGCAAAAAAGAATCACTCATACAAAATGTTTTTAAACAAAACCAAAATGTAAATATGAAATGAAATGAATAATAAATGTTCTAGGGGTCCTTTATATAGAAGATGAATGTGTGTAGTTGGAGAGACACACCCCAAAGTTTTCATGAAGGGACGCAATTCGTTCCACCTCTCGCCTACTGCCCATGTGGCACTCGAGCAGCGCAATGCAATGAGCAATCGCTCTCCTGGCGCTGGCATTGGCAATGGCGCTGAAATCCGAATATTTGGTTGAAATTGACACAAAATCACTTTTCTAGGTTTATACTTGATCAAAATTTCAATTCTTAAACAAAATTCCAACATAAACATGCATATGCTATCTTTATTTTTTTCTTCCACACTTCCGCTAGAAATATCCCAGAAACACAAATATCAAGAGTACCATTCTTCAAATAATTAGTCCCTTATTTCCCATCATTTTCAAAGTAATTTCTTCTCATAATTGGAAAAAATTTCACGTCTTTTTGGGTTCCTGGATAAAAGGAACACTTGTGTCCTTAATTGAAGTTATGATTTCAATGCAGTGGTCCTCCGTTATCCTCGTTGTCGTGTCTCCTGTAGACATCAAAATGGTCTCTGAGCAATCCATTTCATTGGCTGTTACCATAATATCTACCAAATATTTGTCTATATCGATCTTTTTCTATTCTTTATCGTGTAAAATATAATGACCTGAATAGAATAGAATAGAATAGAATAGAATAGAATGTAAATCTTCTGATGAAATAATACATTTTTATTTTATTTTTGCTTTCTCGCCATTGTTAGATATTTTTCATCATTTTGCATGTATTATCTTTTGTTTTGCGAATGTTTTACCGCTCCGACTAGTGTTTGCCGCTACGCAACGGGGATCGACCTGGGCGGTTTTTGAATAGATATGTTTCTTCC